TCAAACATCGAAGAATAAGTAAAATTTATTACATGCTATTCAGTGGTTTATTAGAAATATATCAGTGATATAAAAACTGGTAAATTTCACTGTTTGAAACAGTGTGAAATTACCACTTTGATAATTTCACTGTTTTGAATTTAAGCCCCTTACGTTGTTTCAGTGAAATACCAGCGTTCACAGTACTGGGTACCAACTTAATGACGTGACTGTGCGGATAATGCACGTCACATCTGAGTATCTATTTGCGCGCGCTTTTCATTCCCGTGCATATAGGTGCGCTTACCGTCGTTCTTAAAACGATTTCTTCGCAGTGTCAATCGGAGAAGAGAAATTGTTTAGTCTTAGTTGTGAGACTCGCAAATATATTTCACCTTGTGAACACCAAAAGTTCATATTTCACTCGTGGCTGCGCCACTCGTGAAATATACCTTTTGGTGCTCACTTGGTGAAATATATTCCGATCTTACACTGAACTAAACAAATATCCTCTATATGTACTGCAAAAATATTTGTTCACATTATAATTATATAATCATTAAAATATATAGATTCATTTCTTATTGAAAAATTTGACTTAGGTTTTATAGAAAATAAATATTTTATTACCTCCCTTTATGAACATGAAAATGTAAATTTGGTAATATCTTTCTGGAACTTACAATATTGATAAATCTTCATTTCAGCATTATATTTATGATATAAAACCATAAAAAATTGATTTACAAGATCTTTAAATATATTCAGAGTTGCAAGGGTTAATAACATAATAATTTGAAACTTGTAACTTACCATTCTTCTGGTATAGGGTATGTTGTGTGGCGTAGGGCATTGTCAGGGTCATACTCGAAGGCTACACCACATGTTGGGTTCCATTTGGCATGCTCCTTTGCAAACCCTTTCCTTGCAAAAGCTTTTATCTTCAGTTCTTGACCCTTTCTCAACTTCACAATAAGTATATCTACATATGATTAAAAAATAGCTTAAATTTTGTATTCTATATCTAGCTAAAGAATATTCTTCAAAAGTAACCCAAAAGTGTAAGACAAATATAAATACTTTCTAATAATAGCACAAACGGGCAGCCAAGTTTTTTAATACAAACAATCTTGTTGATAATCTGAACAATCTAAAAGGTATTTTTCATAATCATGCTGAAAATTACACATTTTTTAGCATAAGTTTTATGTGCATTTTATTTACTTGGTCTGTCAGACAACAAATACCATTATGCAATTATCATGCATTGTGTGTTGTTGTTTTTTTACCTTTACCTTTAGGAAAGGAAAGACAAGAAATTGTTACATGTCAGAGCCTTTTTACCCTTCTTTGCTGTAGCCGGTATTCGGCTACTTCCCCAAGCCAACATACTACCTTTTTCCCCCCAGAAAAACAGTTTAAAATTCCCGTTCTTGCGAAGATTTTCCCATTCAGAGAAATGTTATATCGAAGAAAAAAACTTGTAAACAAACTTTCTTGTTTAAAAATTGATCATTGTTTGTTATTCAATTACCCACTAGAGGGATACCTTGATTCAATACAATTGATGTTTACTCACAGCCTCGGTCTGAGTTTGCAACTTTCTAAAAGCAACATGGGGAAAACCCCGCTGCACACGTGATTTTTTTACGACAATTTGGCAACACATTTACGATGTCGCAAATGTAAACAAGAAGAAAATAGGAATGAGTGACATTTGTAATTGTTTATGAAAAATTGGACAAATTCAAATTGTTGACATTCCTGTAAGTGCAAGAGAATCCAATACATGTATTCACTCGCAAATTCATGTGTCCGAGTAGCACAACATGCCAAAGTGTGGGAAATAGCGAGTCTAGCACAACAGTGCTAGAAGTAGTGATACGGTGGGAACTGATAATAATGTTCCCTCTGAATCAAATCAAGAACCCTCACAGTCATGTCAGTAAATTTTCTATAATTAGGAAAGATGAGTCAATGTATTCTTGGGCAAATATAAAGTGGCAATAAATTGATCTGTAAAAAAATCGCTTTAATAATTACTTATGTTGGGCAGAAAGCTCCTAAAATAGGTGTGTTTGGAGGAAAATATGCAAATATATTATGATATTTCCCCCAAATGTGTGATTTAAATAAGTCTTTATTTATAGTAATAATGGTTAAACTGCCAGTGGAAAATATGATTTTTCCCCAAAAGTATGAAAACCGCGCATTTTTCCCCACAAAAAGGGCTAGGGCGCCTTCCCCAAAACTAGTGAAAAGGCCCTGCATGTGTACAACAAAGCTAACAAAGTTTTATACAATTAGGAGAGAAGAAAAAATATCAAAGTTTACCATCTGTATCTTCATATTCATTTGCATCTTCACGATTCCTTGATGTAACCTGTAAAATATACATTAAAACATTATAGATGTGTTACTTGAAGAAATACACTCTTAGCCTAATTGTGGAGACAATCTTAGTCAATCTACCCAAGCAGCATGTGCAGAAGCACATCATTCTGTGACATCTGATCCTGATCCTGGTTTGCTTTGTTATCTATTCAGCTTGATGTTTTATTTCTTAAAATTTTGATTGGTTTTGTCAAGACTGAGGGATGGACAAGTCCATTTTAAGACATATGCCCTGTGTGGCAGCTTTTAGTTGAGGAAAGTATGACTAAACACTTTACAGGAGTTGTTGGGTTTTTTTCAAGGATATGAAAGAATATTTATAATATAACATAAACTGATTATTACTTTTCATTGTTTACTCTTTTCTTTATTTTGTATTATCATCTTTTTTTTTTATTTTGTATTATCATCTTTTTTTTTTATTTTGTATTATCATATTTTTTTCTGTCAAATGTACACTGTATATAAGTTCATAACTTGTCTTCTATCAAAACTCTACCAGTTTCTCTCTCTTCATTCCACAGATCACTGAGATCACTGAGGTCAAGTGTTGCAGAATGTCTGTTGCCCTGTCCTACGACCCTCTCACCCACCAAGTGACAGACGTCAAAACTAAAACACCCCTACATTCTCTAGAATATTGCTGCAGGAGGACTATACTGTCCCGGATAGGACTTGATAATTTACAGCTGGTTTGTTTGGTTTTTTACATAGCAACATATTTCATCATCTAACCCCTGCTAAGACAGTTGCTACACAGTCATGTTCTGCCAAGTAGTGATGGAAATCAGATGAAATTTGTCCCAATCGATCATCGGTTCAGTCAGATGGGACATAATCGATAACTTTTTTAATAAAGTCGCGTTAAAAAGAAATAGGGAAGTAACATTTCTTCCCTATCTTCCCAAGGCACTTGATTATATTCAGTAATATGAACTTCATTTTCCACTTTTCAACATAGTTTTTAATCTTATATAATCATAACTTTACGAAATAGATTTTATTTTTCAATGGATGTCAAATAATAACATTCACATCACATAATAATATTATTGTTTACATCACTTAATGATCCTGTTCAACTCCAAATTGTCTCTGAGATGATTTTTTTGCGATTGGTGAGGTGTTTCTAAAAGAAAATTACCGTCAGAATTAATTCCCTTTGATACTTTAAACATTTCCCGCGGACCAAATTTTTGTGAATTGATTATTGTCGGTTTACAAAACAGTACCTGATTATCGGCGACTTGCGACAATCAGAACATCACTACTGCCAAGTACTTTGTCATAAAATTATTGTTAAAGTTTGCTTGAACTGCTTGAAAATATAAAATTGCAACAACAAATTTGAGAATGAAAACAAGTTTTGAAAATTACCTTTCAATTATATTTCAAACATTGAATTTTATTTCAAATCAAACACTAAATTCTTGTTTTTTTCAAATCATATATTTAACTTTATTTCCAGTCAAATATTGAATTCCATTTCAAATATTAATTTTACTTCAAATCAAATACTAGTATTGAATTTTATTTCAAATAAAGTAAAATCAAAAATCTAATTTTATTTCAAATCAAATTTTAAATTCTATTTCAAATCAAATATTTTTTCAAATCAAATATAGAATTTCATTTCAAATATGTAATTTTATTTCGAATAATGAATTTTATTTCCAATAGGTCAATCAACTACCATTACCATCAAGCATGAAAGCGACATTAGTAAGACTGAGAGTATCTGATTTTTTTATTGATGCTGAGAAAATTCCACCAGAAAGTCACAGTTCTCGTACATTTCCAGCAACATGTCTACTTACTGACAGCACTATCATACTAAAACTAGTATCTTCAAGTAAGTTTTCCCACAATGCATTGTAAATAAATGTTTACTTAAAGCTGCATGCCTCCAGATGAGCAAAATATTTCGATAAAATCAAACCTGAGAAAAATGTTCTTAGATTTTAGGAAAGGTATAAAGATTCAAAATTCTAGTAAAAATTTACATGTTATCTGGGATAAATGACCAAATTTTTCAGTATTTATAACTTTATTTCTACTGCCTTACTAAGGCAGTACGGGTTATTTTTGCATATTTTGACCTCTTTATAGAATTAACATAGGTTGTAAGTGCCATTGATAATGTGTAAATTGCATTCTTTTGGTAACTTTACAATATTATACTGTTAAATACATTTTCAAATGTTCATGAAAATAAGCATGAATCTGGAGGTGTGCTTCTTTAAAGTAGTGAACATATGATAAATATTAAGAGTGGCTTGATTCCAAAATTGCTGAATTATTCAGAATAGATTTTGCTGAGCCAGTGCAGACCATTAGCACAAGGCACAGGTGTACTGGCAGATTTTGGTCTGAACTATTTGCATGGGTAGAATCAGTTTCCGCTAGCAAGCTAATGGGTGGGTCCTCCTCTATACTTTAACATTTGCATTCTAGATTTTGTGATCACTATCCCATGCTAGAAGCAATATAACTGACATGATTTTTGTCTCCTTCAGAATCCAAAGTGAACAAAAAGGACCCAAATTTTCTCACCTCATTTGAAGACGGTAACCAACAGTTTGTTATAGAACAAGAGCTCAAAACATTATCTACGACGATAGCTAACTGCAAAACAGATAATATACGACTTAAAGAGAAATTCATAAAATCAGCATTGCTTCACCTGGTCAACCATTTAATTAAGAAGAAAACCCCCGTCACTACCCATATCTCTAGTGAATGCATCATACTTCATCCAAATGATAAATTTTCTATACAGATTGTCACAAATGATGACCCAAATGCTCAAAATATGATGCCGGGAGCCAGTAACGCTGTCTACGAGGCCCCAGAAGTTTTAAATAACGATAATCCTGATTCCAGGGCCCTAGTTTGGTCTGTTGGCTGTATTCTTCATGAAGCTCTGGCCCTGGAACCAGCATTCCATGACACATCAGGAACCAATCCCTTCCAAGTGTATATGAACATAACGAATGGAGTTATTCCCCCTACTCCATCAGATGGTAGTGAAGAGTTACAGAACTTGCTGGAAAAGTGTTTAATTCATAACAGAGGAAGCAGGATATCTCTAAATGAACTTAAAGAAGCTCTCAGCAAATCTTAAATTATATATTTTTATTTCAATCATGTCACATGTTATTTTTAAAGAAATTTTATATCATTAACTTATTTACTTTTAAAGTATTCAACAATTTTAATTCAACTTTTAATTCTTTTTTTTTTTTTCATGTTAAGATTTTGTTATTTCTAAGAATAAAGTTATGGATATTTAACGATTATTTACTAGTTGTGGTCTTTTAAATTTTGATTTTAGCAAGTATGTTTTGAAATTTCCATTGTTATCTATGACACACCCATTCCTGTTTGCAATAAATCCAAACACTGGTAAATATTAAATTGACAAATGCTTATATTATATAGCCCTGCTAGCCACATTGTACATGTGTATGCATTCAAAAAAGATTTTTGTTATCTAAACTAGATGTACTTAAATATTTCAATATTTGAAATTTCTCCATGCAATAAGTAGAAATTTTATTCCAATTCAAAGCAAGCCAGGCAAGTACATTATGTACATGAAGTATAAACTCTAAGCAGGGAAGATCTTAACAAATAAGAGCTGTCATTGGACAGCATGCTCAACTATTCTCAGTTCTTGATAGTAAACTAACAGCCTGGATAATGCAGAATTTTGTAAGTTCAAAAAGGGCCATAATTCTATTTAAATCCATGTAAGAGTTATGGGCCTTAGATAGTGACCTCCTACTATGCTCTCAAATAAGTGTGTGAAGTTTCAACCTATTCCTTTCAGTAGATATAGAGATACCAGTTTACATGCAAAAACTGAACAAAGATTTTTGAAATAGGGGCACAAATATGCAAAAGCAAATCCAAGTTATGGGACATGTGCCAATCATGTTAAATAATCACAGAAAACAAGCGTGTGAAGTTCAATCCATTCCATTCAGTAGTTATGGAGATATTAACTTACATGTAAAATCTAGCGACAGGGACGCCGACTAATGGGTGACTGCAATAGCTCAAGTATTCTTTGAATAGTAAGCTAAAAACCATGAGAGTTTGATGCCCTGATTTTCTATACTTACAGGAACTATTTTAGGATTACTGGAGATGAGGTCAGCACTGGTCACATGACGTGTTGTATCGTCCTGACATTTTACATCGAGAGTAAACTCCACCGAACAATCTGGACAAAACTCTTCACATGTACAATCCTATAAAAACAAATAAAGCATTAGGGCATTTTATTAATTATAATATAATCAAATGTGTATAAAAATTGAGAAAGTTTCAATCAAGAAAGTAATATCCGTACTAAAAACAAAAGCTGGCATATAACAAACATGTGATGTACTTAATATATTCATAATTTTTTTTCTCAAACTATATTATGCTTTGCCTTGTAGTGTATTATTCTTAAAGGGACTCCACTGAGGTTTTCTGACATGACGGGACCAAACAAAGTTTTCTGAGAAGAATATCCCATTTGATGGAAGTCATGACCAATAGCTTGTGTGTAAAATTTCAGATAATTTGCTCCAGAATGATTAAAATGACCCAAAATTGAAAAGCATTACTATGCTTTTCAGTCAAATTGGGCTGTGAATAGCAGAAAAAGTATGATTTTAAATTTATTTCAGACTGAGACACGCCTGGCAAACTGTCGCTCCACTTCAAAATTGTGGTGTACGGTAAAACGAGCGAACGGCATTTCCGAGATAGAGCGGAAGGCCGATTTTAACGTCTAATTTTAAGTATTGTTTATGTTTTTGTCTTGTTATTTATTTGAGTTGTATTTTTTCGAAAAACGGAAAATGAAGTTCCGTGTAGGATTGATTTAGGCTTCCAATGATCTAACCTGTTACAAAAAGAAAATTATATTAAGCCCGGGAGAACTTTTCTCCCTGGCGAAGCGAACGATGATTTGTAGAATATTGAACTTCCCAACCATAGAAATGCCATACCTTTCGGATTTTTTGAAAAAGTGTATTAGTAAATTATCAACCCGTAATAAGAACTTGTCCTTCGTGCAAAATAAATTACTCTTGAAAGATTTCTTAAATTTGTAAATCGATATTTTTCGAAAGTAGTGGAGCGAAAGGGCAAGAGATGGAGCAAAAGGTTCGATGTTGAGCGCAAGGCGATATTAATTTGACGTATTAGGAGGAGCGTAGTCGATGATTTTTATAAATAAAAGCTATAGAAGTTAAAATAGACATGATCAAGTGTTAAGACCGAGATATATATACCTTTTTAAAGAGAACTAATTTATTGTGATGTCCTTTCAACGACTATAGCGTAATAACTGTAATCTCGAAGGTGTCACCTATGGCTTCCGTGTAGATTCCATTATTTATGTTCGAAATTTGGATAAGGCCCGACCATTGAATCATACACATTAATGCATGGCATAATACAGGATGCCACTTATTCGAGGTCAATCATGATTTTTGACAAGGTTATGTACATTTAAAAACGTGTGTCCGTGCAAATGCGACAAAATCGAATATTTTTAGTTCTACCGCGAACAAATATTTCCGAGCAGGTACGTGTAACTCGATTGTTCACGCCAAAATGTTATGTTTTTCGAAAATTTAGAAATTCAAGGTGATGAACAGAAACAAAATTATGCAATGCACGGAACACATTAAATTAAATGGATCACTACTACCGAGTTCAGTTCACAGTGACTTTCTGTAATTAATAGCTCTAACGTACATGTGCTGAGCAAAACACAAATAAGTCACGTTTTCATGAATTTGAAAGGTGTGGAATCGCTATGAAAATGGTTGAAAAGGTGTCAGTCGTTATAAGGATATAACACGTGTTCCAGTTATGTTTCAAGATACTTCCTCCCTTATTTAGCATTGTTGTTTAATTTATTATTTTCGTCTCAAAGTGAGGCAGAACCCAGTCGGTGTACGGACTAAAATTATCAATAATATAATAGACCTAGCTATAGTAGAAATTTCTATTTACACTTACAGACAAAAATAATAAACTAAACAACAATGCTAAATAAGGGAGGGAGTATCTTAAAAAATAACTGGACATAACCGTGTTAAAAATCATGATTGACCTCGAATAAGTGGCATCCTGTAGTATGTGTACATGTATGTGTATGATTCAATGGTCGGGCCTCATCCAAAATTCGAACATAAATAATGGAATCTACACGGAAGCCATAGGTGACACCTTCGAGATTACATTTATTACGCTATAGTCGTTGAAAGGATATCACACTTTATTTGTTGTCTTCAAAATGTATATATATCTCGGTCTTAACCCTTGATCACGTCTATTTTAACTTCTATAGCTTTTATATGTAAAAAGTCATAGACTACGCTCCTCCTAATACGTCAAATTAATATCGCCTTGCGCTCAACATCGAACCTTTTGCTCCATCTCTTGCCCTTTCGCTGCCACTACTTTCGAAAAATATCGGTTTATAAATTTAAGAAATCTTTCAGGAGTAATTTATTTTGCACGAAGGACAAGTTTCTTATTACGGGTTGATAATTTACTAATACACTTTTTCAAGAAATCCGAAAGGTATGGCATTTCTATGGTTGAGAAGTTCAATATTCTACAAATCATCGTTCGCGTTCGCCAGGGAGAAAAGTTGTCCCGGGCTTAATATAATTTTCTTTTTGTAACAGGTTAGATCATTGGAAGCCTAAATCAATCCTACACGGAACCACATTTTCCGTTTTCGAAAAAATAACAACTAAAATGAATAACAAGACAAAAACATAAACAATACTTGCAATTAGGCGTTTAAATCGGCCTTCCGCTCTATCTCGGAAATGCCGTTCGCTCGTTTTACCGTACACCACAATTTTTGAAGTGACGACAGTTGCCGGGCGTGTGAGAGTATACTCATGAGTACATTATCCCCATATGTCCTTCTGTCTAGTGCCCCAGTACATACTAGGTTAGACAGCAATTATATTGGCTTAAGACCTCATTACTGAAAATGCAAGTTGAGTACTTCATTTTATTGCAAGGCACAATCTGCAATAGTACAATTCATGACAGAAACAACTATACTTCTTAAAGAGAGAATAGGGAATTTCAACTTCTTAAAAGTCATGATATATTGCATAACGAACATTGTATGTAAAAATACAATACATATGCAAATTTACAATACCCTGATATTGCATTCTCGAGACATCACTTGGTTAGAGGAAAGTCCTATACATGTGAGAAAACTCATCCAAACAAACAAAGTCGAGTTTGATTCTCGTACCGTCAGTCATGCCGGTAAAAATACACCATTAAACACGTAATAACATTCTATTTTATAAAGAAAGAGCATCGAAACACGAGCCTATCTGATTTGACGAGGGGCGTAAGCCCCGATAGAAATCAGATGCCCGATGTTTGATGTTCTCTCTTTTGATCAAGTCAAACATAAATAACACGTCCCTGATACCAAATATGAAACCACACTAAAAGTAACTTAGAACCGACATCTAAATGACGTTTCATCGCTATCCTTTCTCTTCGTAATAATATGTAAACCCCGACAAAATGAACCAATCAATGGGCATATCCTGGAGGTTGCGGTAATGAACCTGCACTCCAGTACCGGCATACGTGCATGTAATGTATCGATTAACTCTGACACATTTTCAACAGAAAGGTCCCCAAACTATGATACAATTATACTTATCACTATCACTTCCATCAGTAATGATTATTCCAAATTACATGACAAGATTTATTTGTATTCTTTTAGTTCAATTTTTTTTCCACAAAGAAATAAACTTTTAAGTTTTATTTAGTGTTAGCCTCTCGTTTACTTTAATGTTGTCTGAATTTTGAAAAAGAATAACAGGCAGGAATCGTAATGAAAATATGTTTGTATATTTCCTTAACAGTGAATTATGTATGCACAGACCATTCCTACTCATAACAGCAGCATAAAAGTTTATTCCCAAATAAAGCATTGTGTGTACATTCATGAAAGTTCATGTGAGTAAAATCAGAGAGACATTATACTTTACAACACATTTTTTTAGAGAATTGGCTACAAGAATATAGAGGTGTGTATGTGGCCAAGTGGTTAAGTTTGTTGACTTCAAACCACTTGCCCCTCACCGCTGTGGGTTTGAATCCTGACAGGGACTTCACTAACAAAGTTTGCACTCTTACCCTATGCTACGACCGGATGTAAACAATACGTTCGCACAGGGCATGCGCGGTGGTTAAATCCCACCCATTTTATTCGATTAAATTCTAGAACAACCTCTACTTTCGGTTTCAATTTTGCTGACAAGGAACAGTTTGAGTCAACGTAAGTGTTTAATTTTTAATTGCATATGTCCAAAACTTTGCACTACAACGGCGGAATGTCATATTAAATACTCCGGTATATCACACCGCATGGTAGTTTATTCACTGCGTCAAAATGACGGTACACATTTAACATGTAAACACACAGATATTACTTCCAGACCATTAAATAAGGAAGGACACACGGTAAACTTGTGCAACGTAAAGTAATCAAAATCTGTGACGAAAAATGTCCCTGTCAAAGTAAAATTTCAAAACGGAAAAAGAGAGAGCAGTCCTTTATATCCGATACCAACTGCAACAGACCTTAGTATTCGACGATGAAATTGACGTATAAGCGCGTATACAATATTATTGATGATTCATATATGGATTTTTGCAATGCCTATCATTCAATATGCAATCAAACAAAAACAAGTTTTTCCATACAGTCAAGGAAATGCTAGTTAAGGACGAAGCTTCAAAACGAACAGTAGCCCATTTCCAAACGCTTCCGAAACTCCAACATTGGCGGCTCATTTGCATATAATTCAAAACGCAGAGCATACGAACGTTGTAGTGGACTTTGGGATTCTTCTTGAGGAAGCTTCCACCGTAACTACGGACGTCCGGGGTTCCGACTCAGGTCAGTTTGTGCTGAATAATGCACGGAGGGTACCAGGTCTTCCTCCATCAGTAAAGCCGGAATGTGCGATATGAGGCCATCCTTAAAAAATTGTTTGTTGTAGTTGCCTCCGACCCTAGTCAAGAGGTGGAGGTAGTAAGGGGATTTTTTTTTTTTTTTTTTTTTTTGAAATGTTACAAAAATTGAAGCATACCTGAGTAAGCAATACACAGTAAGATAGTCCTCCCATAAACTTGGCAGTATTAGACCAAATTAAAAAGAGGCAAAGTATTCTGATATTTCTTGTTAATATTCAAATGAAACTGTTAAACATACAATGTAACACTTTTTGTGTTTATTTACATCTATTTCACTTACAAAATAATTGAACTGTTTCCTGTATTTACTGAAACCATTGAACAATTCTGGAAAAAAGGTGAAATATCTTAATAAAACAAGTGGTCTGAGAAATATGATACGATATGATACTTGAACAGATCTAGCCCTTTTGAGAAAAAGAACAATCTCAATACAGTATTTCAGTTTATTTTGAAAAGCAATTACACTGCAAAGTAAGGTGTTGTTTGTAAAACAATGATTACGACTTTTTGATGACCACCTAAGATTCATTCACTGTCCGACGTGTCAGAACTAAATGCCACAAGAAGGGAGGGTGTAGCAATCCATTCTCATTTCATTGCATAAAAGGAATTATCTCAAATAATATTAATCTGGTTAGAAATATAGATTATGAAATTAAAGACTAATAGCAAAATTTTAGCGTTGAATTTTTTGTTATTGGTTGTTTGTTTTTTTTCTTTTTCGTTTGTTTGTATTTTGTAAATTTAGGGGAAACTGGAAAATTTAGAGTTACCTTGTGCCACTTAATCGCTATTAACCCTTAAATTAACTTCCAATTCACTACCACATATAATATATAGTTTTTATCACTAAGTTATGTCATAAGCACCTTCGACGAAGTGCTGGTGTTACTTAATAATAAAATTAACTGTAGTTTCATATATATAAATTTATATACACGAGTTATCACTGTCACATCACGCTGAGATACAAATCAAGATCGTATAGAAAATGAAATGGTTTCCTACGATATTGATATCAATTCATGTCTCGCGGAAAGTGTGATGTGAGGCAGTGAAATCATTGTAACTGATAACATTAATAGTAAAATATTAATTAGAGACTAGAGACATATTACACTATAAATCTTTCCGTGTTGTTGATCGTTTGTCAATAGGTTAACTTGAACAAAGAGGAAGATTTAAAATAAAGTGCTGTTATATGATATATTTAAAATATTGCAGGGTCTTCTCAAAGAGTATTGTGTGGATCGCACACGCGTTCTATTGCAATAAAGGCAACAGTCAGACTGAATCGCACAAACAATCTTGCGATGATGTAAAAGTATAATCATTTTATTTGTATATTAAGGGAAAGGAATGAATGTCAGTCTTTCAAAGAAGGTGTGCCACTATATAATCCACACGATTCAATGGGTGGTCGACTAATAAACCTGCTCCATGCAGGGAAGGGGCACAAAAAAAGCTCGATTGAATTTCCTTGAGCAAAAGAAGTGATATAGGTTGGTTCGGCGAGAAATGAGATACAATAAAGACAATATAAGAATTCCAACCCAATCGAACTAAAACACATTTGTATAAACTAATCGTTATAAATTTGGCATTAGAAATGCATGCGAAATTTTATAGTATGTATTAATTAGTATTTGCGTCTATTTTAAATAAGACTATAATTAAAGGTAAATTTTAATGTAAAAAATAATTATCGTTCTTAAAAAAAAAACACAGGTATAAACTATTTAAAGTATCGGGAAAAGACCCATTAATTCCAGCGATTTTCCCTGGCGAAAATTTTATCAATTAACTTGTTTTTTCAGCAAGTTTTAGTGTAACATCATTTTCTGACAATCATGAATGGCGAAATGAATTAATTTATGTCAACAATAAAGTTTTTCTGGTATAATTTTGTGTAAAAATATATGTATACAGTGGTGGCCTATGGTTACGGAGGATAATCCATTTTAACATTCGTTGATGTATGTATATTATCTTTGAAGCAAGGTTGCAATCTGTTTTTTTTTCACTTTTATATCAAAAACAAGAGCTGTCCGTAGGACAGCACGCTCGACTATTCTAATTGCTTGATAGTAAAAGAGCCTTGATAATGTTAAATTTTTTAAGTTCACAAAAGGGCTAATTTTTTTTTTATAAATTCATGTTATAGGGTTTAGAGAGAGTCTAATTATACAGTATTGGCTTGACTATTTGGAAGGTAATGTTTAATGATAAATAAAATGAATTGTATGAAAGTTCAGTATATGTGTTAATAATTATATGTTAAAATTGTGATAACCATTTAATCATTTCTTTTTACATGTTATATTTTCTTTGATTGATATGTGTTATTTTGTGTGTGTGTGTTTTTATTTTTATTTTAGAAGGCCGCATTGTAAATAAGATGTTGCAATCTGTGTATGTCTTAATGTGTTACCTTCGGTAAATAAAGTTATTATTATTATTATTATTATGTCACAAGGGTGCTTTATTGAGTATAATAATACTAATTACCTATGAATACATAAAATTGACAGAAAAGGTACAAAGGCTTGTTATTAAGATGTTTTATCAAGTAAATCACTGCTTTATTATTACGAATGCATAAAATTGTCCCAAAAAAAGGCACAAACCCTTCAGTAGTTATGGAGATAACAGCTTACAAGCAAAACTTTACCATGAATTTTTTAAGTTGAAAAAGGGAAGAAAAATCAGCCTAAATGCAAGATAGAAATTATGGATCTTTGTCAGTGACCTACAATTCTGACCCTGAATGCATATGTGAAGTTTTAAATAAATATCTTTAATAGTTATAGAGATATGTAAAACTTGCATGTAAACATTAACCAAGAGACTGTAAGTAGAAAAGGGGATATGAATCAGCCTTAATGCAAGATAGAGTAATGGAACTTGGTCAGTGACATACAATTATGACCCTCAAATTATAACCCTAAGTACATGTGTAAAGTTTCAAGTAAATATCTTTGAATACCTTTAACCTTTAACCAAAATCTCTAAGTTTCAAAGGGGCAAATAATTCTGCAAATATTGCAGACAGAGATATGCAATTTAGCAAAATGATGTACATTGTTACTACTAAAAAAGTATTGTAAATTTCAAATGAATATCTCAAGCAATAATTGAGATATTTGACTTTACAAAAAAACTTTAACCAAAATTTGTAAGTTTCAAAGGGGCATAATTCTGTCAATATTGTACGCAGAGTTTATCCAACTTGTCAATCTGATGTACCTTGTTACTATAAATAAGTATTGTAAGTTTCAAACTGAATATCTCAAGCAATAATTGAGATATTTTGTCTTTACAAAAACTTTTAAACCAAAATTTCTAAGTTAAAAAGGGGCATAATTCTGTCAATATTGTAGGCAGAGTTATCCAACTTGTCAATCTGATGTACCTTATTACTATTAATAAGTATTGCGTAAGTTTCAATTGAATATCTCAAACAATAATTGAGATATTTGTCTTTATAAATAACTTTAACCAAAATTTCTAAGTTAAAAAGGGGCATAATTCTGGCAATATTGTAGATAGAGTTATCCAACTTGTCAATCTGATGTACCT